CTGTTGGCTGAGCTTGGTCATTCGGTCAGCGAGGCGGCGGGTAAATTCACTTTGCAGTGGGGTTTGGTTTTCGTGAGTGATACTCTCAGGTGTTACTGCGCCGCCGGTTGTGATGCCGTCGAATCCTACTAGAGTGGCGGTGGTTGGTGGAGGAGCGATGGGGACTTTCTTCGCTCAAGCGTTGTCTAAAAAAGTGACACTCCCAGGGATCGAACTCGTGCGGGAAAAGTGTCTGTAGGTTCCCGATGTTGTGCTCATGACGAGTCCCCACTCACATGCAGCGGCGATGATGAACTCGGGTTTGGATTGTGTCGACAGTGAGGGCAGGATGTTACCTGCTCTGGAGGGAACACAACCTAACACTGTGGGATTCCGAGTTGTTCATAATGTAAGTCTAGGGGCCTTTTGGGTTTGATAACAATGGAGGAAATGTTACTAACGTGATGACATTTATATATGGGAAATTGGAAAATTCAAAAAGGGTTTCTCCCGGGAACATTATAGGTTTCTGGATGATCACCTGTGTATGAGTAGAGATTATGTATCACATCAGGATTGCTCAATTTCAGGCTGAAGATTGCCTAGGTGCATTCGGTGGTACTACACCGGAGCTTGTGGTGGTAGCCTCCAAGGCGTGGCAGTTGGAAGATCCAGATGTCGTTAAGAAACATCTTTCTGGTTTACTCAGTGATGGAGCCCCTGTGCTTAGTGTAGGGTTGCCTTTATTAGGCCGACTGAATGTAGTTGTTTTAGATTCAAAACGGCATTGGAGCTGTTGATGCGTTATCGGTCGTGAGCAAAAATATCTTCCAGGTGAGTGACGTATCTTACCGTTTCAAAGTGAGAGGGAAAGATACTCATAATCGATCAATTCGCCCAGGAAGATATCGGATGGTCATTGAACTTCAGATATCATTGGGCTTGTTGTTTTTCAGATTTTACTTTAACAATCTTGTTTCAGGCGGTTACTAACATTGGTTGCAACCTACCCCGTCCTGGCGTGTTGGAGGTCAA